AGCACGTGCTTCTAACAAGACTGTCTGTTTGATGGTGGGCTACGCCTGCCTGGAAGTAAGACTGAACTTGGCACCTTGAGCTGAGCTGCCACCCAGATGGCTCAGTGGATAGAGCATGCGCGCTTAACAACAAGGCTGCAGGTTTGACTCCCGCATGGGATGGTGGCTACCCGTAACTAAGATTGAACACAGCACCTTGAGCTTAGAGGCCACGAGCTGCCGATGGGAAGCCAGATGGCGACTGGCGCGCTCCACAACTAAGATGGAAGAACAACAACTTGGCTGATCCCCTTCCCCAATTCCCCAACACTGTTCCCCTCCTCCCATTCCCCAATTAAAAAAACAAACAACAACAACAACAAAAAAGCTGTGTGTTGCAGTGAAGAATGCAATGACTGCTAATAAAGTTTGGTGCCATTGCCTTGATTTCTGTTAAGGCACCAGCAATTTTGCCTACTATTGCTTTTAAGTCAACACAGTGAAAAAAGTAAATCATGTTTTAGTATTTATAATGAAAATAGTTTTGACTTCTTGGGTCCCCTACAGACCCCATTCTGAGAACTGTTATACTAGAATGTAAGTTCCTCAAGGGCAAGGATTTTTGTCTCTTGTTCACTGATGTATCCCTTTATATCTAGGCCTGCTATCATCTTGGGATATTTTACCTATCTCTAGTGTTAGATCATTTATTTTCTAAATCTAGGTCATCTTTGCTGGTTTACTGTTTCCTTACGGTGGAGTGTGAGGTATAATATTGAGACTTTGCATATCCGAAAATGTCTTTATTCTGATCTCATATTAGATCAAAGATTGGGCTGGATATAGATTCTAGGTTGGAAAGTATTTTCACTTAGAATTTTGAAGGCAAGTCTCCATTGTTTTCTGTTTTGCTGTTGAGAAGTCTTATGCTTTTTGTGATTCCCCCATTTTTTTTTTCTTTTTAGGAGTTTCTAGGATCTTCTATATATTGCTGGTGTTTGAATTTTTATGAGCTATGTCTGGTGTATGTCTTTTTAAATTGATTGTCCCAGGGACTTAGGGCAATTCATGTCTTTTAATTCTGGAAATTCATTTGAATTATTATTTGGATATTTTTCTTTATCTCTTTTGTCTTTTTTTTTTAATGGAATGCAGATCACTTGAATATATGACTTCCTGGGTTGATCCTCTTTTACCTCCTATTTTTAATCTTTTTCTTAGTACTTTCTGTGAGTCCTTTGACATTATCTTTTAACCCTATTACATTTTTTACAAATTATTATTTTTTTACATTTTCAAGGTTTTTCTCTTGTTCTTTGGATGTTCCTCCTATTCTTGTTTTCTGGATCATCTTCTCATATGTTCCTAAGGAAATTAACTGTGATTTTTCTTTTCCTTGAACTTTTCTTTTGCACGTCCCTGGTTTACTATGAGTTGTTTTTCTTCTTTCTGTTTGGCTTCTGTGTCTTATGATCAAGGATTTTATCACATGATTGGTTATCAGAAAAAAAGTTTAAAGTTTGGGCTTGTTAACTAGCGGGCTTGGTTATAGGGTGATTGGGTGAGGATCTGGCCCTTTGTTGGAGGTACCTGCAAATACTTAAATCTTTTATCAGGTACTGTTCAGTTTTTGCATAGATGAATCTTCTGCCAGAAGTCTTGGATCAAAGCACACACAGAACTACAGTATTTACCATTAGTTGTAGACTTTCATGTAATCCCTTTAACTTTTAGTTTATCATCTTTCTGCCCCCTTTTACTGTGCCCCTGGACTTGGTGCTTTATTGTTTTGTTATTTGTCTCAAAATAAACCACCTTTCCTGGAATTGGGGAAGAGTAGTCATCTCTCTGGGTTGGATGGGAAAGGGGACCTGGGAGATTACTTCTTTTATATACTTTCTACCAATTCCTTGTTTTTTTAGTTGCATGCCTAATTGTGCCCATTGTGGTAACCGGTATCTAAAATTCCTGATCCTTTCTGATTTTAGCTCTGTGAATTAGCTTTTCTCTTGTTGGAATTCACTGCAGTTGCTTGGTATTCAGCTCTTGTAGCTCTGCATCCTCCATCTGTTTTTCATTTGCTAAAAATTTGTTGACATATCTTGTCTACTGTTCCTGTTGTTTTCTAGTCTCTTTATCTTTGTGAATTTAACTTTTACTTTCGTTTTAGTATTTTTTTAGCAATATAATAAGAACATAATAAAAGCTCATGTTAAATTAAATGGTTACTTGTGGATAAAGAAAATTCTTAACTGTTTAAAAGTGAAAACAAGAAAGGAAGAAAAAAACCAGGAAATAAGAAAACTTAGATGATCTTTATCATTCAATTATGGACACATTCCTTAATGGAAACACACACACACACACACACACACACAAACACACACACACACACACACACACGGTTATATATATGGGTATATGGATATATATATATATATATATATATATATATGGATATGATATAGACATATTTAAATATATATGTATATGTATATGTATAATTTCATAATCATAGTATTTTGAAGCTGGACAGGATCCTGGTGATCTTTTACCCAGTGCAGTTTCATTTTTCAATGAGGAAATTGGCTTAAATTTACTAGCGATTTCCTGAGTTTTAAAACCAAGTCTTCCCAATGTTTTGGTGAGCTATAAGATGTTAGAAATGTGAACAATGTGGAAAGTTCAGAACTGTATTTAGAGCCTATTTCTGGCTCTTGGTAAATAGCATCAAATTTTGAATTGAATCCTAACAGCAATTTTCAACTGGTATCGCACTGGAGTCTGGGAGGGGATGGCTCACCTGACAGTTCTGAAAACAAAGCTGTACTTGAATGCATGCTTTGTTTATAGTAATGATGGTTAACTTATTTTGAATAAATATTAAAGGAAAGTATGAGATTTTTGTTTATCTGACCATTCCATAGGACAGATCTTGCTTTTGCATGACATTGAAAGATAGCTAATAACTATGTCATTAAAGAAAAATAAGTTTGTGGGTGAGAATCTGAAGGCTATTTAAATTAAGACAAGTTTCTTCTTATCAGCTAGGTTAATTCCTAAATATAAAAACCTTAAGTTCTGTTTCTGTGTTTTTTTCTGTTTGTTTACTAAATATATAAACATCACCATAGCCATATAGAAAAGTTTTAAAAAAAGAAAAAAGTTATCCAGTTTCATTACTGAAATATTAAAAATTTTAGTTTTTGCTATTATTCATATTACATATTTTCTTAAATTGTAGTCTCATTAGATATAGTTTTAATAATGCTACAATGGATACCTTTATGATTATACGTTTTTTTAATAAAAACATTTCAGATCTATTCCTAGAAGTAGGATTGCTTTGTCAAAAATAGTTCAACATTTTTATGACTATTTAAATTGTTAATTGCTTTCTGAAAGGAGTATACCACCACACTATATAGATACTAGCATTGTGAAGAATTGACTGACTTCACGATAACCTCATCAACTCTGGCATTTAACATTTCCTCCCCCAAATTTCACAAGTGAAATGTAGATAGTGTATTGTTTCAATTAGTACTTTGTTAATGATTAATGAGTTCTTTTTTTTTTAAATTTTTTTATTGTTAGTTTCAGGTGTACAGAACAATGCAATAGTTATCCTTTTCACTCTCTCAAAGTAACAACCCCCCTCCCCCCAGGTACTGTCCTCCCAACCCCGATATCATGCTCATTCATTACAATTCCATTGATTCCATTCCCACTTTCTACTCCATGTCCCGTGACTATATGTATATATAATTATAGTTGACATACAATATTATTCAACATCAGCTTCAGAAATACAGTGCGGTGGTCAGGCCTCTACACTGACTACGAAGTGGTCTCCCCAACAGGACGTGAGTCCATCTGGCCCCCTAAGAAATATTTACAACATTATTGATTGTATTCCTCAGACTGTCTTTTTCTATCCCTGAGGCCATATTGTAATTACCAATTTGTATTGTATCATCCCTTCCCCTTCTCCTTCATCCCCACCCCCTCCCAACTAACAACCCTCAGTTCTTCCTCTGTGTCTCTGAGACTATCTCCATCCACTTCTCCCATCCATTCAGTTCCTTAGAATCCACGTATAAGTGAGATCATATGATGTTTGTCTTTCTCTAACTGACTTATTTCACTTAGCATAATGTTCTCTAGTTCCATCCATATTGTTGCAAATGGTACTATTTCCTTATTCTTTATAGCTGAGTGATACTCCATTGTGTAAATGTACCAAAGTTTCTTAATCCAGTCATCTACCGATGGGCATTTTGGTTGTTTCCAAGGCTTAGCTATTGGAATAACGCCGCAATGAACATAGGGGTACATATATTTTTTCGGATTAATGTCTTGGGATTTTTTTGCATAAATACCTAAGAGTGGGATTGCTGGGTCATAAGGTAGTTCCATTTCCAGATTTTTGAGGTACCTCCATACTGATTTCCGTAATGGCTGCACCAGTCTGCAGTCCCACCAGCAGTGCACCAGGGTTCCCTTTTCCCCACAGCTTCGCCAGCATTTGTTGTTTGTTGATTTATTGATGATAGCCATTCTGACCGTGGTGAGGTGGTTGATTAATGAGTTCTTATCCATTTACAAATTTAGAATTTTCAGTTAGAAAAAAGTAATTCTAAAAGATGGTAAAGTATCTTTTATCTTTAGGGAATGTAAAAATGAATTAGGTAGTTGTTCCCTAAACCAAACATCATGTAGTTAATGATAAATGCAACTTAAATATATAAGAAAATTGTTATAATGAGCTGCCCTCAGGGTTGACTCTTTTGAGAGACATTTGAAAAAATTTAGGACAAATTCAAGTGTTCATAAGTTGTAAAACCAGTTAATTGATAATCCTAGAAGACTACTAGAATTGTTTCTCATGTCTTGTCAAGATGCCAGTTACATTTAAAATTCTACTCTAAGACTTTAAAAATTTTTAAAGTTTAAAAATAAGTACTGTATTATATTTCATCCATTGTGTCATTATGTTAACAGTTTTCTTTGAATTTAAGCTTGTAGAAATGGGACGCCGGTCATCAGATACCGAAGAAGAAAGCAGAAGCAAGAGAAAAAAGAAACACCGTAGACGGTCATCTTCAAGTAGTTCTTCAGATAGTAGAACCTATAGCCGAAAGAAAAGTGGAAGGAAATCAAGGTCAAAGTCAAGATCTTGGTCCAGAGATCTTCAACTTCGATCACATTCTTATGATAGAAGGTGCTTTTCATAATTTTTACTTACATTGTAATCAGAGTGACATTCTTTAGAGTTTTTATGTTTTTGTACTTTTAATTTTTCTGGGTAAAACATTTTTATTTTAGTGGCTGTGTGTTTATGAGGGTTAAGTCCAACCCAAAAAGGTTAGTTGGTTGGCTTGTTTTTTTGCCAGGCCCAGCCCATGGGTTCAGTGTCTTCATCCTTTGTCTAGTATTTGTAGACCAGTAGATATAAACTAGTACAGTTCTCATACTATATTATCTGGTAATATTTGAAAGGATTGTATACTCCTTATGACCCCTAATATCTTAATTAATAGCTGATTCAATCATTAAATTATGAAATCAATCATCTGACTGTTCAAAAGATATAACATTTTATCTCTGTTTGCCTCTAGGAAGGAGTAAGACATAGCGAAAATGAGATGCTTCTTTAGAACCTAGATGATTTCTCCTTAATGCTCATAAATTTTTTTATAGTAATAATACTTGATTATATTTTGTTTTCAGACGCAGGCATCGATCAAGCAGTAGCTCTTCTTATGGCTCTAGAAGAAAACGAAGTCGAAGTCGTTCAAGGGGTCGAGGGAAATCCTATAGAGTTCAGAGGTCTAGGTCAAAAAGCAGAACAAGAAGGTATGCCATATCAGCTATTTATTGCTTTGTAACATACTATCTCCCAATGTAGAGCCCTAAAGCAACAATCACTTATTTTCTCATGATTTTACTATCTTGACTGAGCTCAGCTGGCAGTTCTTCTCTTAGTCTTACATGGGGTCACTCGTGATTGTAGTTATCTGATAGCTTGCCTGGAACTAATGGTCCATTGTGGCCTCAGTCTAACATTTGGTGCTGGCTGATGGCTATTATTTGGGGTGCTTTAGTTTTCCTGTGGCTTCTTATCTTCCAGTAGTCTAGGCTGGGCTTTTCACATGATGGAGGAAGTATTTCAAAAAGGTAAGGGCAAAAGTTGCAAAATCTCTTTAAAGTCTTGCCTCAGAAATAATCCAGTGTGTTTATGGAGTGAATGTTTGTGTCCCCCACTAGATTTGTCTGTTGAAGCCCCAGTCTTCGATGTAACTGTATTTGGAGATGGGGCCTTTATGGTGGTCATTAAGGTGGGTCATAAGGGTGGGGTCCTAATACAAGAGGGCTGGTGGCCTTATAGAAGAGGGAGAGAGAGAGAGAGCTTTCTTTCTCTTGGAGTCTGTACTCAGAGGAAAGGCCGCGTGAGGACACAGTGAAAAGGCAGCTGTCTATAAGCCAGGAAGAGCCCTTACCAGGAACCGAATCAGCCGACATCTTGATCTTGGACTTGTAGCCTCTAGAACTGTGAGAAGTAAATTTCTGTTGTTGAAGCTGCTTAATCTGTGGTATTTTGTTGTAATAGCCTGAGCTGACTAATACACGTTGTCACTTCATCTACGTTTTCTTGCTGTGCTCAAGGGCCAATAATATAAAGAACAGCCTATCTGAGGAGAGTTGTACATTTTGGGCAATGGTAGAAAATATGGTAGAATAGGGTGGGGACCATGGTATTGAGGGACTTCATCAAAGTTGGCATTCAGAAATTACTGAAAGTTTTTGAGCAGAAGAGTGTTAGGATGAAAACAGGAATTTAGTAAGATTAGCTTCTTTTCCCTGCTTAGTTCTTCAAATTACTATTAGGCTCTAGTTGTGCGGCGTATATTAGCAGCTGGGTTTTGTTATCTAGGCATAACATTTTATAAAACCCTCTATGAATCCGAAGTTGGATAATAGTAATAAAGTCCAAAGGTTTAGCTTTTCTGGCCTTGTATTATTTTTGTCTCTGTCTCCTCTCCTTTGTACACATTGGACAGATAAGCTACTTTGTATTACACGTACCTGAGTTGCTAGCTTTGTTGATTTGAGCAAGCTCTTTCTTCCAGTTTGTTGCTTTATCTCTACTTAATACATGTTCCTACCCCTTAATGTTCAGTTCTAGTCTTCTGCCTTAAATCCTTTTTTGATTTTTACCTTTTTACTCTCAAGTCAAATTTAATCCACGCTTTCTCTGACCCACCATCACATGTGGTTCCTGATATGTAACAGTTATATTATGAATATTATGTCTTTGTAATTCTCATATATTATAAACTCTTGCAGTGGGAATCTCTTGGTACCTAGCATAATGCCGTGCTTAGTAAACATGCCTTGATTGATTGGATGATTAATTGGGGAAATGAAGTTAGGCAGAGAGCTGATTTTTATAGTTAGGTAAAGTTTTATTGATTTGTAGAAGGAAAGCTTTATTTTGGATGTATCGATTTGTCTAAAAAGAGACTGATTACCAGAAAACAACTTCATTTGAAATTTCCTATCAGTGGGAATAGAAATAATAATCCATGCTTTTTTTGTGGTCTTTTTCAGTTTATTAGGGTATTTTCACATACCCTGAATCAGTCAGTCAGAGTTTGATTAGGAAAACAGAAGCCACTCAATTCCAAGCATTAGGGTTTTAACACAGGAAATTAAAGGCTTGTATAACCTTTGGAAGGGCTCAGGGAATTAGGGAAGCTGTCACTGATTATTTCAGCCTGAAGCATGGAAGCTGGTTGTTTTCTCAGAAGTCACTGGAACTCTTAAGAACGCTCCAGATTTAAGAAACTATTCACCTGGAAGCTGCTGGTCTACCTGCTTACACCTGCCTCCAGACAGGAATTGGGAAATGTTAATTTCTTTTCCTTTGCAATGCAAGGAAGGCCTCAAAAGGAATGGCAGTGATGTCTAGTCAACAACAAACTGTATAGCACACAGGCAGTTAGTAATTTGAGTTTTTTTTTTTTTAAAGATTTTATTGGGGAATTGGGGAAGGGGAACAGTGTGGGGGAATTGGGGAAGGGGAACAGTCAAGTTCTTGAATCTTAGTTGTGGAGGGCGCAGCTAGCTCAGCTCCAAGTCCAGTCGCCATCCGGCTGTCCGTCAGCAGCTTGCGGCCGCTCAACTCAAGGTGCTGTGTTCAGTCTCAGTTGTGAGTGGGCATAGCCCACCATCCCATGTGGGAGTGAACTGGAAACCTTGTTGCCAAGAGCGCATGCTCTAACCACTGAGCCATTCGAGCGGCAGCAGCTCAGCTCAAGGTTCCGAGTTCAATCTTAGTTGTGGGTGGGCACAGCCCACCATCCCATGTGGGAGTTGAATCAGCAACCTTGTTGTTAGGAGCACGTGCTCTCACCAGCTGAGCCATCCTGCCACCTGTTGGCAGCTCAGCCGCAGCTCAGCTTGGGCACAGCTCACTGGCCTATGTGGGGTTCGAACTGGTGACCCTGTTGCTCAGAGCTCGCGTTCTTAACCAACTGAGCCACTCGGCCGATTCAGTAATTTGAGTTTTGTAACTCTATCAGACAGTCATTTGGTGTAATACCTTTATTTTGTATAGGAGGAAACAAGCTCAGAGATTATTCAGAACAGCAGCTTCTCAGCATCTTGTATCGACACTTCTGCATTTAACTGCCAATAACTAACTAATCTGGAAATACTGAAAAGTCCTAAATTTTGAGAAAGTAAATATCCATGTCCGATATCCTATACACTGTATTATTTTGGAAAATATATTTTAGGAATTTATTCTTCAAAATATTTAAACTGAGTTTCTAGGTTAATCTTTGTTTAACAAGATAATTCAACTTTAGTTAATCAAGACTTGACTTGACATAGAGGAGATGAAAGTGGTGAGTTTTTCATAGACAAATTACTATATGACTTTAAATCTGAAGGTGAATTGTTAATGATTTCTGAGCTTTTTAATAGAAGTGAGTGATTTCAGTCATGGAAAGTCAAATACTTTCAGAAAACTTTGTTTTTACATGTGCAAAATATAATTGAAAAATGAGCCGTGTTCTAGGGGATGGCAGGAGGACGGGAGTCAAATGTGTGAAGTTTGCTGCAGTTTCCACGGATAAGTTATAAAGTAATTAGGTGATTATGCTTTTTAATATAATTTTTATGTTCTTAAGTACTCAAGTTGTGACATGTATGTATAATATCACTTATATGTAATATCACTTTCTTTTGCAGTAGTGAGAAACCTTCTATTACCTACAGTATATTTACTTATTTCCTCAATTCTAGACTACACAGAAAGTATAGTTTAAGAATTACTGATATGTACCACTATGAAACACAAACTTATATAAACTGGAGTTCAATATTTTTTTATGGTTCTTTTTATTTTTATTCTGGGGGTATATAATTCTCCCCACTTTATGGTTAGTTTCTTCTAAGAGTTAAGTTCCTTTGTTTTTGTTTATATTTTAAGTTTTTTATCCTCTTAAGTTTTTTTTACTTTATTTACTTTTTGTCTCCCTCTTTATTGTAGTATGTGAAACATTTATGTGGTTTCAAAAGACAGCACTTTACTAAAAGGTGTACACAGAGAAATATCACCTTTCCCCCTTCTCTCTTGTTCCTTACCACCACCTAGGTAACTAATTCTATTAGTTTGATATTTTAACTTTCCTCTGTTTCTTTTTAAACCAAGTAGTAGTTATATCTGTGGCATACTGTAGATACTCTTTTGCAGTTTGCTTGTTTTTTTTTTTGTTTGTTTGTTTACTAATATATTTTGGAACTCACTATCAATTAATAGTAATCTTACTCATTTTTTATAGTTGTTTAGTACTTCACTGTGTGGCTGCATCACAATTTATTTAGCCAGTTTCCTAGGTATGGCCGTTAATAATACCACCAACATTTTGCAGTTACTAAAGGGCTTCCATGATTAACCTTGTACATGAGTACTTTTGTGTGGTTGGACATGTGTCTTCAGGGGAAACTCCTAGAAGTCAGATTGCTACATCAAAAGGTAAATGTTTGTAGTTTTGTTAGAAATTGCCAAATTCCTGTCAGTATTGTATGAGGGGCCTGTTTCCTCACAGCCTTACCAATAGAATGTGCTGTCATTTTTAAATGTTTGCCGATATGATAGATGAGAAATGGTATTTTAGTGTAGTTTTAGTTTTTATTTCTTTTTCTCATACGTGAGGTTGAACATCATTGCATATGTTTGAGGACCATTATTCTATCTTTTTTGTGTGTGACTTTTCATGTCTTTTGGGTTTTTGGTCTTTTTTTTCTTCAATTTTTAAGGGTTACTTACTAGATGTACTAGCCCTTTAGCTGTGATACATATAGCAAATATTTTCTCTCAGTTTTTGGTTGTTTTTTGACTTTATTTATGGTATTTATCGACCATGCAAGAATTTTTTCTTTTGTATGGTCAAATTTATCACTCTTCTTTCATCGCATCTTTCCTTATATTCAGAACTTAGAGAAATTCTTTCCTTATATCTGGGTGTAGAAAAATTCGTTGATGTGTTTTCTAGTGTACTTGTTTCATTTTTCTACATTTAGATGTTTTATATATTGGAATTTATTCTTGTGTATGATATGAGGTATGGACCATTTTTCCCCTATTGGCTGTTGTCATGTCACCATTTATTAAAATGTCCATCTTTGCCCCAGTGATTTGCAATGCCTCTTTTATAATGGACTAAATTCCATTAGTACCTGAATCTTTTTTTTGACTTTATATATATTCTACTGGTCTGCTTGTCTAGTTATAAACTATTAGTACTGCACTTATAATTATAGAATCTTTAGAGCATATTTTAATG